AAGGTGAGGGATGTCATCATGGAGACTGATGAAACAATGGTCTCTTTTGATGTCACATCACTCTTTACGTGCATTCCTGTTGATGATGCAGTAGAGGTGGTCAGTTTAAAATTAAAATCAGACACCACTCTGAGCAGCAGGACCACACTTTCCACAGAACAACTGTGTCAACTCTTGAAACTGTGCCTGCAGTCGACCTACTTCACATATGGGGAGCAATATTATAGGCAGAAACAAAGCAAACTGGTTGATCCACTCTGAGAAGGTGCTACTTAAGAGACTGAGCTGAATACAGCACCTCAGACTGAGGAAGTCTTTCGGATGAAAGACGAAACGTTTCTACATTTTTTTGTTGTTTTGCTTTGTTTTTTTTTTTAATGTCCAGAGGACCAGATTTAACTTTTTTTTAGATTTTTCTATCTGGATTATTGAGCATGCATCAGGAAACTAAGTTTCAGCTTTTTTAGCAAATTTCTGCTGTCATTCCACACAACAATCACACTACATTTTCACAGATTTCTTATTTTTTCTAATGACTATAGCCTCGTTTCAGTTTTGTATCAGGTATGGTAAGCCTGTATTACCACACAGACCACGATGTGCAGAAGGACCCGGAGCTCCAAGCCTGGTTCAGAGACATTTCAGAAGAAGGTTTCACTGAGCTTCCCAGCTTTGGTAAGGCAACAATAAACATTTTTTTTTTTACATTTAGCATGAATACAGATGTGTTTAAGTGTTAGAAACAGGCTGTTCTGGATAAAGACATTTAGCCAATTGCTTCGTGCCACAGATAATACTGTATGGTTTAACTCCAAATTTTATTTGTTCTTAGCATCATTACCTGGATCCACAGGAGAGGAGCTTGACAACTGAAAGCTCTGGCTCCTGTTCTACTTTTAGAGACTCTAGGAACCACAAAAAAAAAAAAAAAATTCAGTCTGAGAACAAAATGCTACTTTAAGAAGATACGGGCCAAGAATATCTTTAAAGACAGATTAGGCAGATCCAAAGAAGGGATATTAATTGAAACACCTCTGAAAAGTTTAGGTAGTCGTCTGTATTCCTAGTACTGCAGGAAAAGTATACTATGTAATTAAGCTGCATAATTAAATTAAATTAAATTCAGTTTATTTATATAGTGCTGTCACAACAGAAGTCATCTCAGGGCACTGAACAGAAACAGGAGGAGCAGACTGTTTGAATTGAACTCCATTGCAGAACTGTCATCTTGAGCAATCATGAAGGCGACAGTGGAAAGGAAGAACTTCCTCATGAGGAAGAAACCTTTAGCAGAACCAGACTCAGGACAAGCGGAAAATTGTTTCGACCGGCTGGGTTTGGTAGGAACAGATACACAATGACAGGTCAAGAATCACGTTAAGATAGAAATAATATCAAATGAAAACTAGTCAGTTTTAACAATTCATTTAAAAAATGAGGTCAATTTGTCCTCCAGCAGTCTAAGCCTATATCAGCATAACAAGCCAACCCTAACTATAGGATGATCAAAATGGAAAGTCTTAAGCCCAGTATTAAAACTGGACAATGTGTCAGCCTTAAGGACAGTATCTGGAAGTTGGTTCCACAAGAGAGGAGCCTGGTAACTGAAAGATCTTCCTCCCATTCTGCTTTTGGAAACTCTAGAAACCACAAGTAAGCCTGAAATCTGAGAGTGAAGTGCTCTGTTAGGAAAATATGGAACAATAACATCTGTAATATAAGATGGAGCAAGGTTGTTGAGAGCTTTGTAGGTTAGAAGTAAGATTTTGAATTCAATTCTGGACTTGACAGGGAGCCAATGGAGAGAAACTAAAACTGGAGAAATATGATCTCTCCCACTAACTCCAGTTAAGACTCTGGCAGCAGCATTTTGGATCAACTGAAGACGTTTTAAAGAAGTATTTAGACACCCAGATAATAAACCATTGCAATAGTCCAGTCTAGATGTGACAAATGCATGGACCAGTTTTTCTGCATCATTTTTAGATAAGATGTTTCAAATTTTAGTGATATTACACAGGTGGAAGAAGACGGTTCTAGTAACGTTTTTAATGTAGGGATAAAAGACACGTCCTGATCAAAAATAACACCAAGATTTTTAACATTAGAGCCAGAGGCCAGACTAATGCCATCTAAGGAGGGAGAAAGACTGAAAATTTTATTCCTAAGATGCTGAGGTCTAAAAACTAAAACCTCAGTCTTGTCTGTGTTAAAAGGAAAAAATTAAGCGTCATCCAGGTTTTTATGTTTTTAAGACATGCTTGTAGTCTAAGTAGCTGATTGGATTCATTGGGTTTCATAGACAAATATAACTGTGTATCATCAGCATAACAATGAAAATGTATCCCATGTTGTTTAATAGCATTACCTAATGGAAGCATACTGTATATAAGGTAAATAGTATTGGTCCAAGCGCTGAACCCTGAGGAACTCCATGGTTAACTTTAGTGTATGAATAAAATTCATTATTTACATTTACAAATTAGAATCTATCAGATATATGCAAACCGGATTCCAAAAAAGTTGGGACACTAAACAAATTGTGAATAGAAACTGAATGCAATGATGTGGAGATGGCAAATGTCAATATTTTATTCGTAATATAACATAGATGACAGATCAAAAGTTTAATCTGAGTAAATGTAACATTTTAAAGAAAAAATACGTTGATTCAAAATTTCACAGTGTCAACAAATCCCAAAAAAGTTGGGACAAGTAGCAATAAGTGGCTGGAAAAAGGAAATTGAGCATATAATGAACAGCTGGAAGACCAATTAACACTAATTAGGTCAAATGACAACATGATTGGGTATAAAAAGAGCTTCTCAGAGTGTCAGTGTCTCTCAGAAGCCAAGATGGTAAGAGGTTCACCAATTCCACCATTGTTGCGCAGAAAGATAGTGCAGCAATACCAGAATGGTGTTACCCAGCGTAAAATAGCAAATAATTTTAAGTTATCATCATCAACCGTGCATAACATCATCAAAAGATTCAGAGAATCTGGAACAATCGCTGTGTGTAAGGGTCAAGGCCGTAAAACTCTACTGGATGCTCGTGATCTCCAGGCCCTTAAACGTCACTGCACCTCAAACAGGAATGCCACTGTCAAGGAAATGGCAGAATGGGCTCAGGAATACTTCCAGAAAGCATTGTCAGTGAACACAATCCACCGTGCCATCTGCCGTTGCCAGCAGAAACTCTACAGTACAAAGAGGAAGACATTTCTAAGCAAGCTCAGACGTTTGCACTGTGCCAGGGGTCATTTAAAATGGAGTGTGACAAAATGGAAGACTGTTCTGTGGTCAGATGAGTCACTATTTGAAGTTCTTTATGGAACACTGGGACGCCATGTCATCCGGACCAGAGAGGACAAGGATAGCCCAAGTTTTTATCAACGCTCCGTTCAGAAGCCTGCATCACTGATGGTATGGGGTTGCATGAGTGCTTGTGGCATGGGCAGCTTGCATGTCTGGAAAGGCACCATTAATGCAGAGAACTCTGTTCAGGTTCTAGAACAACATATGCTCCCATCTAGACATCATGTCTTTCAGGGAAGACCCTGCATTTTTCAACACGATAATGCCAGACCACATTCTGCAGCAATCACAACATCATGGCTACGTAGGAGAAGGATCCGGGTACTGAAATGGCCAGCCTGCAGTCCAGATCTTTCACCTACAGTATAGAGAACATTTGGCGCATCATAAAGAGGAAGGTGTGACAAAGAAGGCCCAAGACGATTGAACAGTTAGAGGCCTGTATTAGACATGAATGGGAGAGCATTCCTATTTCTAAACTTGAGAAACTGGTCTCCTCTGTCCCCAGACATCTGTTTGTTGTAAGAAGAAGGGGGGATGCCACACAGTGGTAAAAATGGATTTGTCCCAACTTTTTTGGGATTTGTTGACACCATGAAATTTGGAAACAACAGATTTTTCCCTTAAAATGATACATTCTCTCAGTTTAAACTTTTGATCTGTGATTTGTGTTCTATTCTGAATAAAATACTAGATGTTGGCACCTCCACATCATTGCATTCAGTTTTTATTCACAATTTGTTTAGTGTCCCAACTTTTTGGGAATCCGGTCTGTATGATTTAAACCATTTGAGCCGTTTCTGTAATTCCAATATCATATTCAAGCCTCTGTAGTAAAATATTGTGATCAACTGTATCAAATGCAGCACTGAGGTCTAACAGGACCAGTATAGACACAAGTCTATTATCAGAGGCCATGAGAATATCATTAGTAACTTTCACCAGTGCAGAGTCAGTGCACTGGTGAGTTCTAAACCTGATTGTAACTCTTCAAACAGATTATTTCTTTGTATATTTATTGGATATTTATTTCTTTGTTTTCATAAATTTGGATGTTTCAGGTCTGCCAAGTAAGCTAAGTGGCAGAGAAGAACTCTCCACCCTGTTAGCAGTGGCCATCTTCACCAGCACAGCTCAGCATGCAGCAACCAACAACGGACAGGTGTGCAACACTTTCTCACATGTTGCTGTTCTCTTCCAGGAAGAAAACTTCAGTGTTTGTGCTGATGGACTGAAACTCAATGTCTTTAACCAACAGACTCACCTTTTACTGTTCTGTTTCACTAAAGCAGCTTTTGTCTTTGAAACTCCAATGAACATTATAAAGAACATGCAGAGCTACGGAGATAAATTTGTCTCAAAAGCATACAACAAGATTTGTATACGACCAATAAAATGTTCCTGTTGATTTTGCAGATGAAGAAAACACTGGAAATGTATTTTTCTAGTAGTTTTTGCAGATGAAGAACAACATAACAATTTTGAGTACTGTAGTTCATTTCAAATCAGTTCACACAAAAATACTTGAAATTAGATTTTTCTGGTTGATTTTTCACAAGAAGAAAATGTTAATTTTGTGGACTGTAAACCTGAAATTAAAATGAAGATGGGTTATTACTCTTCTTGAGAAAACTCTACCATGAAAATATACATTTACAGTTTTATATATATATATATATATATATATATATATATATATATATATA